TGTGCCATAACTTGATACTTGAAGCATTTGCTAAGGCTAACAGGGCTCAAGGCCCTTTCTTTAAAACAGCTTTAAACCCCTTAGAAGCAAAAAAAAAATTAAAAAAATAGTAAAAACAACTTTGTAAGAACAGCTGAATTCTGCCAATCCAGTCTTATTCTTGATTGTTCCAGAATTCTAAATATGGCTATACTATACCATAGCGCGAAACCAGCCTGAATGGCAAGCACTTCAGAGAACCATAAAAATTTCAGATTACGTTACAAGATCAGCTTTGTGCTCAATTGGGTTTTAACAATTTTGACAGGGCTAAAGTGACACCTAGTGGATAACTAAGTATAGTTTTAAACACACAATTCTGAGCATACATACTCTTGGTGTAGGTATTAAAAAACATGTCCATTTAATCAGCCATTACCCTTACACATTAACAGGTGACAGAAAATCATTTAATAAAACAGGTAACTTAATCTCCTTTAAAAAAGGAGAGAGCCAGGGATGACCCATGCACTTTTATATACATGATTTATGTGCCCAGGAATGTCTCTGCCTTTTCCCACTGGTGTGGAATACCCCTGGAGTCCTGATAAAACTGAACAGTCTGTCGTTTAGGTTTTTTTTAGGCAATTTATTAGCATTCATTCTGTACAAGAAGGAGCACACCAACACAAATTCTGTAGGAACCACAAGATATTGGAAAAACAGACTCACCGAAATGTCTAATCTTTTGTTCATGTTTTTGCATAAGTGGTTCAGACACAGCCTCATCTTCAATTTCTTTTCTTTTTTGATTAATAAAACTCTGAGGAAGAGAAAGATTGTACTATCACATAAACTCCACACATACTGTTTAGTGATATAAAGGAGTTATTGTACATTAATATGTTACTACTTAAATGGCCATGTTCTAATTTTAGAGTTGTATCATATTTGAGGAAGTTTTTTTTCAGAAAGTGTCGTACCTAGTAACAGAATTTCAAAGTTTCCTTATAGTCTCTGAAAAACTTCTGTTTTCATATAGGAACTTACTGATTTGTTAGTCATGAGAATCATATACATTGCAGCCTGGATCAGATAAATGAAATTAGGAGATGTGATAGTGATGCCAAACTGATTTTTGCTTTTATATATTCTTCATGTCTGTTTGTAACTCTGTGGCCTATTATTGTATAACTATATAGATTCATAGCTAGAATTTTACCCACTTGTTAGCAAGAAAGACAAAACAGATTCCTAAAAGCTCTATCATCATCTAGTTTCTTTAGAGACCAAGGACAACACTCTCTCGTAAAGAACTAGAGAGGAACGGGGATTTCAGAAGAAAAGTCAAACCAAGAGGGGGAATTACCTCAACATCTGTGTTTCTAATTTGGCATTCTTGTCAATTATGCTAATTTGCTACACTTACAAAACTGTAGTTGCTCTATGTCACACATGCACCTTCAGTGCATTTTTCAGCATGTATTTCAGTGTGTTGTGCAGCTGAAGGGACCCTTCATAAAAAGCTAACTACATTTATCACCTGACTGTGTCTGGCTTGTGACTTTACAGCTCTGTAAAAGGCAATGATAGCTGTTGAAATTAAATTGCGAAATCAATGATGAGATCCTACTATTAAAAAAAAAGTTCATGCTAAATAATTTGTATTACTGTAGACAGTATTAGAGACAAACAGTTTCATATTCTGGGTTGGATGGGACATTTAAAGACCACAGAGTTTCAATCCTCCCTGCCGAGGCAAGAACATCTTCCACTGGATTAGGTTGCTCCAAGACCAGTCCAATCTGACCTCTGTTGCTTCTAGGGATTGGGTATCTACAGCTTCCCCAGGCAACCTGTTCCAGTGTCTTGACACCCCAACAATAAAAACATCTTCCTTACATCCAATCTAAACCTACCATCTTTCAGTTTAAACCATTCCCTCTTGTCCTCTCAGCACAGGCTGTGATAAAAAGTGTTTTTCTCCATCTTTCCTATAAGGCCCTTTTAAGTACAGGCAGGTCCCATGAAGGTAAATTAGGGCTCCCTGGACCCTTCTCTTCTTCAAGCTGAACAACCCCAGCTCTCCCAGCCTTTCCTCATAGGAAAGATGCTCCAGCCCTCTGATCAGCTCTGCAATGCTCCTTTGGAGCTGATCCAACAGGAGTCCTTCTTGTACTGGGGATCCCAGAACAGGGTGCATTACTTTGGGGTTGAGTCTCAGGGGAGCAGAGGGGCAGAATCCCCTCCCTGGCCCTGCTGCCCACACTGCTCTGGATGCAGCCCAGGACACGTTTGGCTCTCTGGGCTGGGAGTGCCCATGGCTGGGTCAGCTCCAGCCTCTTACCCAGCAGCACCCCGAGCCCTTCTCAGCAGGGCTGCTCTGGTCTATTCTTCCCCAGCTTGTGTTGGTATCAGGGGATTGCTCTGACCCAGGTGTGGCACCTTGCACATGGCCTTGTTAAAACACATGAGATCCCAATGGACCCATTTTTCCATCTTGTCCAGGTCTCTTTGGAAGGCTTCCTTCAGGTCTGATAACTGCAGCAGTCAGTTTCATATAATCAGCAGTCAGATTCATATAATCTGCAAACTTGCTGAGAGTGCACTCAATCTGTCTCTTTAATTTTAATTAAGACATTAAATAACACTGGTCCCACTACAGAGCCCTGAAGGACACCACTGGTCCCTGGTGTCCATTGGGACTCTGAGCCATTGGCCACCACCCTTTGCATGCCACCCCCCAACCACTTTCTTATCCATCTAACAGTTCCCTCATCAAATCCATCTCTCTCCAGTTTAAGAGAGAAGGATGCTGTAGGAGACCACATATAATGCTTTGCAGAAGTCCAGGTAAATGACAACTCTAACCCTTCATCCATCCACTGATGCCGTCACCTCGTCATAGGTCACTGATAAGGCATGGAATTGGTCTGGCAGGACCTGCCCTTGGTGCAGCTGTGCTGAATGTCCCAAATCACCTCCCTGTCCTACATGTGCCTGAGCACAGTTCCTAGAAAGGTCTATTCCATGACCTTTCCAGGCACAGAGATGAGTGACATGTTGTGTTTTTGTGCTGTACAAGACACAGAAGACACTAAGAGACTAGTAACAACTGGAATGAACAAAAGAGGCTAGCACTTGCTTCCATGCACAACGACGTAGGTCATACCTTATTAAAAACTTCTTTACTAACAGGATCTGTGTTCCATAGATTCTGTCGTTCCCTCTGGTTTAGTGCTTCTTCTTTTCTTCTCCACTCTTCCTCTCTCCATCTCAACTCAGCAGCTTCAGTCCTTGCTTGAGCAGACTCCTGATCACAGGATTCTGAATTATGCAGTGCTAAACTACCAAATTTTTGCTGGGCTTCTGCTAGGTTCCATGTGCATTCTACAGAGTGCTTCACAAACTCTCTTTCTTTTTGGCAGGCTAATTCAATCCCTTGGCTGTATGTCTGTGAGGAAAATCAGACATGCTATTTATGGAGAGAAAATTGTTGATTTACAGTTTCTATAGAAGCAGACTGGCCTAAATCCCAGAGCTAATAATAATGTACCTGGAAGGCACCTTAGATATGCAGCATTATAACAGCAGAAGTGATGAAGCACGGCAATGTACAGCTATGTCTTCTAGAAAGAGATTTCCAATTCAAGTCACTTTAACTATTAAGCGTATTTGCAAAACCATGGATCACTTGCTATCAGTAATAGTCTCTAGATTGTAAAAATTCTTTTGAAACAGCTGAAATCCCTCTGGCTATCTTAGGGCTAGAACATTAGCAGCAATCAAGTGTGAGAATACTCTGAATATACACTTCTGATAAGAAAGTATTGGGCTTATGTTGTCAGATCACAACAGTAAAGTAACTGCTGCTGCCTGCATTTCAGTATTAGTACCTAAACAAATGGCCAACATCTTCTCTTGAACTGACACAAGAAGTGGTATTTAAGTTATAAAGTGGCCAAGGCCCAGCACAAACACATGGTCCTTTAGGTTAAATCTGTTGAGGATGTCACCACTCACAGCTAGGAGAGAAAAGGGACATCTTAAGCAACTCTACTTATATTATTTCCAGATGTGTGCTCAGAATTCACACTCAGTAATATGACAAGCCTTTCCCACCAAGAGTGAAGAAAAATGCATCCATTTGCATTAGTTTCTCAGCCTTCCACTGCCACGTTATGAAATCTGCAGTGCTGATAGCCTCTGGCAGGGGCACACGAAGGACAATTTGAGAAAGACTATCTGAAAGAAACTTTAACGCAAGTAAACCAAGCTTATTGTCCCAACTTTGGGAATGACAGCATTTTTATTTCTGCAGTAACAAGAAGAAAATTTCACCGTTGGAAAAGTAATGTAATGGCAGCTGCTTGCGAGACCACACAGAATTCCTTACAACGCGTTTACTTACTTACAACGCATTTATAAATCGCCGCCTCGCCCTGGCCAACAGAGAAACACACCGCCTACCTATCTGCTCCTTGGGCACGGGGATGCTGGGATAACTCCAAGCCAGCTCCTTCCGCATCGCCAGCCCGCGGTGGAGCTCTTACCCCCGGCGGGCCGCCAGACCCCATCTGTCCCCGCCGGGCGCTCCCGCACGGCCCCGTCCCGACACGGTGACCCCGCTCCCGCCGCCGCCCCTCCGCGGGCCGCGCCGCCCGGCACCGACCCACACCGCGCCCCGCCACCAGAGGCGGCGCGAGGGGCCGGGGCTGCGGGGCCGGGCCACGGGCGTACCTGCACCTCCGGCAAGCGCTGGCGGAAGGCGGCAGCCTGTGCCCTCTCCTCGTCCTCCTCCTCCGGGGCGCCGCCGTCCCGGGAGCGCGGCAGCCACAGCGCCATGCCCGGTGCCGTCCCGGCGGCGCGACCCGTTCACCGGAACTGGGGTAGCGACACTTCCGCCGATCGGAGCGCGGCCGGGAGCGCCCGCCCTCGGCGCGTCGGGCGGAGTGAATGGTGGGCGCGCCTCAGGGGCGGCAATGAAGGCAGCGGGCTGGGCGGGGCGGGCCCTGCCGCCGCTCCGCCTCCGCCCCGGCTCCTCCCCTGAGCCGGAGCTGCCGTGGCCCGTGCCCGTGAGTGCTGCGCTCTTCACTGTCTCTGGCCGTGCCGCTGCCCCTGTACTGTGCCGTCGCCTGTCCCCATGCCTTTCCCTGATCCTGCCTTTTCCGTGCCGCTGGAAGGCCGCTCACCTTCCTGCAGGCTGCCACACGGCAAAATACCACGCGCGCGTGTGTGTGTGTGTGTTCGTGTATGTACGGTCCTTCAGGCCTAAGAGCTGCTGGGGTGCTGTCTGGGGTGTTTTTATAGCTTCGCTCTCGTCCGGGAATAATGAGGCCATACCTTTGTGGTAGCACCCTGTAAAGATTAAAATGTGCCCTCGTTGTAGCCCTACTGTTTACCCATGGATTGGCTATTTAGCTCCAAACAGGAGGCGCTGGCTGATTCTTTGGGAGTCGCAGGTGTAAAGTCTGCAAGAAAAATACGCCAGGAAAACTTTAGATTAAATGGAAAGGTAGGTGACCTGTTGCTGTGTGTTGTTTGTATAACAAAGGGATTACTGCTGTGGCCAAAGGGATAATACTAGCATGTTGGTCACAATAGTTCTCATCAGATAAAAGAGAAAAAAAATTATGTTTTTTAAGTCAATCATTCTCTTGTAATCAAATGTTTCTGTGTAATGCTAAAGCCTATGAAATTTAGTCCCTGTTACACGGGATTATAAAAGCCAAAAATACAAAATGAGAGAACTCCCAGTGATAGCTCTTAACCTGACATTTTGAGATTATCAGTAATAAAGGGCAGTGAGTCTGTTCTGAGATAGGGTCCTGCAGACTTGGACAGGTGTCTATGCCTAAGACTGGACCAAGGAGTTTCATGTGGAAGTACCCTTTTCTTAAGGTTACATTTCCTAGTGTGTTTCTGGCTGAGAAACCAACATATATCTCAGTTTGTGCATCCTGGGTCAACACAAAAAGGCAGAATGAATGCTTTCCTCCTGTTACTCCTCTCTTGTCTCATAACGTGTCCTTTGAAAGGATGTCTTTGGTTTGTTGTATGTCTTGGGATAGAAACTGATGTCTCAAGTCTTGTATAAGATGTAATTCAGGTGTAATCTTATTTCTCTTTACAAGTGATAAGTTATTCTTGTTTCACATGTATCTCAGCATGATAAGATGCATTATTAGGCCCATTCCTCAAACAGAACTTCACATTTCTTTGAGATTTTATGATCTGGAACTTTGACATAAGTGGTAGTGAGAGGTCATCTCCCACATGGACAGTTCTTACCTAGTATCAGTAATATTAATAGTCTATATGAGGGTAATTTTAAGTTATTTTGATTCAGATATGATTACTCTGGGATCAGTATGACATCCTAATTATAATATGGCTATCATCTGTTAAGGTTTCTGTGTGTGTAGAAGACATATGATGTAAATGAAGATCTAAATAAATGATGGACAAGTGGTTTTGATGCCCTTTTACATGTCACTCAAACACCTGGAACTGATGATGAGAGGAGTCTCACTTACTGTACTTACTTACCTTACTGTATGTTACTGTATGTTAATGTATGTTGTGTTTGAAAATTGCTTTTTAAAAAATGGTGTAAGACAGCATGCCTGTGTCAACTGACAAGCAAGCCCATGCTGAAGCCATTTGCAAAACGGGTATCCAAGAAATTTAGAACAGTATATTTCTTATCTATTTGACCCAAAGTCTTCTTGATTGTTTTTCAAATTACTCTTGCTACCTGTGTGCTTCTCTAAAATTGTTTACATCTGGCTTGCAAGAGGCTTTTCTTTGAGTAGCATGATGGCTCTTCCTTTCTGCTCTGGTTGTCCTTGACACAAGTGGAAAACTACACATGGAAACTAAAGTATTATTAAGGCTTTTTCCCTGTCTCAAGGCAAACACAACTCTGAACACATGACTCTTCGATCTCTATGTAATAAAACCCCACAAATATGTTATGACCAGAAGTGAGAAATATAACCCACTTCCAAAGAGTAATTTCTTAGATGTTTACTTAATGCTAAGTAATTCACATGAAGTAGGTCTTGTTAGATAAGTTCATCTTTTGTCTTACCACACATTAGGGATTTTTTGTGCCTGTGACCTTCATTAGTAGGTGTTGACAAACAGTGAAGTAGCACATTTTCCTGGAGGAGACATGGCTTAAGTCAGCCCTCTTTAAAAAAGACTATTGCTAAAATATTGTCTGAAAGCACTGCTGTCATTTGAAGGACATTGATGCCTTAAAAAAAAAAAAAAGCAGCAAATATTGATAAAACAAGAGGAATGCAGCTGAATGCATCTTCTCTAAATAGGTAGAATGTCTGACATTTGTGCCCAAATAAAATCAGTGGTAAAATTCCAATTTACTTCAAAGGGGTCAGAATTTCACTCCAAGGTGTGCAAAGAGTATTTGAAAAAGCCATGATTCTTTGTAGCAAAATCGACAAGAGCTAAAGGCAGACAAATGCGTTTGAATTTGTTTCTTAAAAGGTATTTCACAGGTGATATCTTAACTGATTTTGTTTTTATAAGATATTCAAACACACTCTACGTAATACACAGAAACATAAAGGAAAGCTTCCTTCTATTTTCTCATTTGCCTATAATCTCTGTGGAAAATTACTGTCCTTTAAGGTATTTAGAGTTACGGCTTTTAATCTTTTAATTTGGGATGTATCCTATAGCATTGGTCAAGAATTCAAGTGTTTTTCAAACATATATTTCCTAATTGTATTTGTGGGTCTTCTGATTTACAGTTCAAAGAACTGGACTCAGCATACTGTAAACCTGAATTTTTTTCCCTACAAATTACAGGCTGTTCTGAAGTTGATGCCTATATGAATGAATATGAAATTTCAGCTTTGTTTTTTCCAAAACATTGCATAACTTTAAAAATGTAAATCACATCCCAAAGTACACAGTAATATATAATATTAGCTAAGTTATTTGCTCAGTGGCGGCTTGGCAAAAAATACAAGAATTATTTTGAATAGGTATTAAAGTGTTCCTGTGAATGCTGGTTTGTTTAATGAGTGTTATAATTAATTTATTTGCTTCTTACTGTTTTCCCAAAGATGTTTGAAGGTGCTTTAGATCCTGCTGCAGAAAGCAAAATACAGAAAGTAAGTATGGTATTTGAATAGGTGATAATTAAAATTGAAAAAAGTAGATCCATGTATTCACATAATGAGTCTGTTTCTCTGACTGCCTTTCCAGAGTACATGACCTGGTACACGTTGGTCCCCCTTTATGTTGCACTTATGTGAGCCATTTGAATGTCAGCCTTTATAAGCAAGCTCCCCTCAAATCAATTACAGGATTTTTCCATTCTTACGACAGGCTGTGTTCTGACACCTAGTGTGACACACGAGGCTAACCTGACACTGCTTTTTATTTTTCTATCAGCAATTTGGCATTTTGAAGTCTCTGACAAGTCATGTCACATTTAATGGTTAGGGAGTCATTTAAAAGCCAAAATCTATTGCTTGTAGGGGGATGTGGGAGAGAAAAAAAATTACCTATAACAGTGGCCGGTCTGTATTCTGTTTTGCCATTGCTAGTATTGACTTTCAATAGTCAGTCATACCTACAGAAGCACATTTTGTTAAAATACTTTCATCCCATAGCTTTAATTCTCTTGGAATTCCTTAATCTTAAAAAGGTTTCAGGTTTTTGTCCTTCTGGAGCAAGCCATTCCTGTAAAATCAACAGAAGCTCAAGCAGAAGCCACTGACTGTCCCATTGTCCTGATGGATTGTAAATCCATCAGGTGTCAACCACAGAGACTGTCCTGATATTACTTTTATGTGTGTATCTGTTCTAGCAATAATGATAATAATGTTAGAACTAATACTTAAGGAACTGAAGTAGAAAGTAGCTCTGTCTCCTTTCTCATCTATCATTTATCCATTCTTCTCATTCCTTTGCTGATCTTCCTCCATTCCTTTCTGTATGTGCAGCTTTTGATTACAGTCCCGGGTGTATTCTATCATTCAGCCACCCTGCTATAGTTTATTTTTCATCTCTCACTTAATGTAATTAAATTTGAATTAACTCACCTTGTGTCTTCAGGTAATAAGCAAGTAAATATTTTTTCCACAGGCAAGTAAATATTTTTCCATGTGCTAATTGATTTGATACTGTAAAGGATATTAGTATCAGGATACTAAGGATACTAGTGTTATGTCATGCCCCCTAGCTTTCTTTCCCTTTTAAATTTAAGGACCTCCTCCACTGGTATTTCTTTCTACTCCATAATTTCTTGTATATTGTGGGTACACACTTGAGTAGAAAAAAAATTATTTTCTGATTTGAATAATTTGAATAATTTTAATTATTTGTTAGGATCAGTCATGATGCTTTAGTTTCTTCATACTAATTTTCTTGTTTCTGATTGCAGTCTAGTTTTCTGGTTACATTCAACCAGAACACAAAAATGTAAAGTTCATCTTGTTAGATAGTCATCTTCAGGCTTCATATTGTGTGTTCTTGTAAGATGGGAAAAAGCCAAATGGACACAGGGTGGCAGATGAGTGCTATTGTTGAGCTCACTGATTATAGAGCATCATGTATGTTCTAAAACTGCAGGCTATTTACTAAAATCAGTTATTTTTCTGTTACAGCAAATTAAAAATATACTCTATGTTCCTCGTGTAACAAACGTTTCTTGTGCAGTTGGTATTTATTTTTCAAGATATTTTGCTTCAGATAGTCATCTTTCCCTTTCCTTTTTGCTTTATGCTTTGAAGAGTTGCTGATATATTAAAGGGTAATTTGTGATATTATTTCTTGTTCAAAAACATCAGTGATACTGGAGAAGGATGCAAAAAGTAAATTGAGATAATCTATATTATCTCTGTATAAAAGCCTAAACACGGGGGAAAAAAGTGGGTGATCTGGCTTAGTACAGAGAGTGCTCATTTTCTTGTATGATTACATTAATGCAAGCTTTGTGGGTATCAGGCTGTCAGATAACTAGGTGTAGTATATAAAGCCTGTTTGTCCCCTGGGCATAGCATATTTTTTCTGTGTGTCAGGACAGAAAAGACTGATAAGTAATACCTTTAAAAGGAATGAGACTCAAAATTTTAAGTAATGCCAAAGGATTTAATAATATCATCAGCATATTATGGCCCTTTAGAATATCAGTTCTTTATTCTGCATAGAACTGACATATCCTTAATCCATCAAATGTCATCTGTTTTCATTCTTGTTGTTTGGCTCTGCAAAAATAGGCAGCTTTGAGATTTGGCTTACTTAGTGTCCTGTGGGGTATACTATCTTCTTTCAATTTTATAAATTTAAAAGATATTGACAAAAGCAAAGTGTATTCCTCACAAGAGGAACCAGTGCCTGCCTGTGTCCTTGGTTCAGCAGAAGTCAGACCTCATATGGCAGAATTTAGTATTGCCTTATTTTCAGAATATCAAAAGGTCACAAAAGTTGTTCTTGGTTCTTGTAAAGCTGGGGTCCATTAGAAAGGCATAAAAGCAGTGTGACTAAAAGAGATGAAACTTTGAATACAATCAAACATGGTAGTCTCATTATTGACTTCTACTGAAAATTGTCAGCCTTGTAGCATGGTTTGCAGGGTTTGTTTTTCCTCTGATTGGAAGTGAACATATCTCCACTTCTGTAAAGAACCTGTCCAAGTGAAGGCAGCAGCAGCTTTTATAGCAGAATATCCATTGTGGCCATCTTAGTGTCACACCTCAGGAAGGCAAAACCCCTGCTATAGTTTCTAAGCCAGGTACTTGACAGTGTGTCATATAGCTTGCCTCCTGTGCTGGGAACTTAGGAAAGTATATTCTTTCTCAAGAGTGCTGTATGGAGCAGCACTGACCTCCTTTACTCAGAACACAGTTAATAGGCTTCTGAAGGAAGAAAAGAACTAAAGACAAGTGTGGTGTAGGGCTTGACAAGACTTTGCCATGGTAACCCAGGACAATTCATCTCCCTCATCCAAGTATGTACAATCCCAGGCACATCATATCTGGTCATGGTAATCTGGGTTATCTTACTTCTTCCGGTCCACAAATGCAGAGTCCCACATATGCTTTATGTTATAAAATATAAAGCATATTTTATCTTGCGAAAGTAACCAGGACAGCTTGCTTCCTCCATCATCTTCACTCAGCTTTGCACAGGAACCAGCGTGATGACCAGCTGCCATTCTTAGAATTCAGACAAAAGCAGTGAGATCCCTAGGGAACAAAACAGAACTTTGCACATATGTGTAAGTCAAGCCAGTTAATCAGTGCAACTTTTATTATCTGCCCCTGCAGTGCTGTCCTTTGAGCTGTACTCCCATGGAGTTCCACTGGTCCCCGATTCGATTAGGGTTTGTGTACTGGTAATGCCATGCTTTCACCAAAGCCAAAGTTGCTGAGTGTTGTGCCTTGTCCTTGAAAGACTAGCATCACTAAGCATGGATACTTACACCCTCATTTTGTAGGAAACTGCTTGCATGCTGTATGATTTGTTGGCCGAATTACACAATGTTCATTTACTACATGCTGGCTCTCTGGAGGAAATACATATTGAAAATTATGGTGATTGTCTTTCAACACTACTTTGTGAGGACATATCTGCTGAACAAACTTTAGAATATTGTGATTTCATACAATTTTTTTTTTTTTTTATTCCTGCAATAGGCAGATTAGAATATTTAATTCTCTTCCCTGTGTGAGACAACTTCTAATTGTACTGATGTTCTGGTTTGAAAGCAAAACCAGTGAGAGACTCAAGTCAAAAATACAATTTATTAGGAAAAGGGAAAAGGAAAACCAAAATACATGCAATAATACCAAAGAAATACCACTGACAAAGTCAGAATACAACCTAACACCCTGTTGGTCAGGGTGTTGGTAGCAGTCCCATGATCCTGTAGAAAGGGTGTAGTCTTCCTCTGAAGATCCAGTGGAAAAGACAGCCATTCCTCCAGGAATCCAGTGGACTGACTGTTCTGTCCCAAATCCCAGACTATATCCAGGTGGGGATATTTAGCTCCTCCCCCCTCATCATGTGGAGCATCTCACAATGGGCTGTTATCATTCTGTGAGTCATGTGGTGGGTCCATTAAACAGAAATGGCCCCTGGAGGGAGTTATCTCTGAGTCATGCAGCAAAGCATTGGTGGGCCCATTAACAGGAGATAAGGAAAAAACAATGCCCCTCCTGGTTCAACAGCTCTTGAGGATGGAAATAGAATACATCTTTATATTATAACCTAGGACAACTGAAAACACTGAGAAATCAAGGTCAAGATTTAGTAATCTGTGTATAAAAATATGCCTTATACATATTTTATAAAATATGCACTAGCACGACATCCTCTATCACAGCTCTGGACATTCTGTACAACATAAATAAGTAGTCTGCCTTCAAGTCTTGTGGTTGTGTCCATCGCCAACATACTTTGATTTTTCTTTGATGCTTTCAAAGTTAGTGACAACATCAAACTCCAGGACTGCTCTGCTAAACCAAATCTTTCAAAACCAGTGCAAACATAAATGGTTTCCCAACCTCTTATCCTCTTCATTTCAGAAAACAAAGTAATCAGCTGCAGCAAAGTAAGAGTTCTAGGGATATAGTGAATAAGCCATTTTCTGGAGATGTAGTTATTCTTTTAGTCAAGCAGGCAGAAAACCCCTGATATTGTTGTGTTCTTTCCTATATACAAATACAGGACCAAATGGTTTGGGCTTGCTGTATTTCTGTGGTTTTGTTTGCTGTGGCTCTCAGGAATGCAAACGAAAATGTTCCCTGAAAACAGAGGAGGACAGTATGCTGAAAAGTAGCTGCTGTCTTAAACATTTTCAACATCAAACAATTCTTAATCCTGCTGAATATGTGCCATTCCTGTACCATGCTTCCTAGGCCCACTAATGTTCCAACTACCACCTGCTTCTGAAAGCATCACTATGCGCAAGACGAGCAGCATTCTGTCAAGAACATTCACTCATTCATTCACAAGTGTAAATTTCTGAAGTTTTCATTGCACAGCAATGACAGTTCCATATAACAACCCTGACAGCTATTTTTAATAGGCGTCTCTTTCTTCTTATGCGCAGTAGGGGATGACTGCGCATTTTGTGATGGGTGTACAGGGGACTTTCTGTTCCCAGAATGCAAGCTGACTCCTGCCTGTTGTCGTATGGATAGAGAATTAGTGATGACACTAATTCTCCTTATTTTCCAGTAAGTTGCCTGAAACTGGTGCCTATCACACTTGTCTGAAGAAGGAAGGACTGCAGTGGTAGTGGCAATTTTGTGTGGACTGGAGTTTGACTGTCTCTTTGATCCTCTTGAGCAGAGGGGAATGCTCCTGTGCACTTTTGAATGTAGAAGTGCTGAGAGAATGTCCCTGTTAGGATACAGGCTATCCTAACAATTAAATTTGTTAGTCACACACTGAAGGCCGGTAGAAGATCTAATAACAAAACATTATGTTTAGCTATATACCTTCATCCAAAGATGGTGTGAAAGGTCCAGTCACTTAAAAGATTTTCAAGATTCTTTGTACCAGTGGCCTTTGGGGATGCCAGATTTCTGTCCATTTTCTTTATCTCATGTACATGCCTTGTTTTTTTTCACTTTGCCTGTTCTCACTCTTTTCCTGAGGGTCTTTTATTTTTGTATTTTTGTAAGGCTTCCCACAGCCTATTCTTTCTAGGTTTCATTGTTTCCAGAAGGAGCAACAGCAGCCTAGAATAATTATATTTTCATACTTCTCACTACATTATGGATTAGATTGTGCAAAAGAAACAATGAAACAGATTTGTTTTATAAATACTATATTGAGTATTATATTATTAAAATAATATTTTATTAATATTATATTTTTTATTATTAACATGAGTGTATTTCAGCATACAATAACTTTGAACAAGGAGGGTCATCTTTCCTGTGGAGTCAGTTTTGCACTAATTAATTCAGAAGGTTCTTGTGCTTACTCTACAAACTAGTAATGGCATTATTTCACATCACAATATCAGATTATGTATAAATTGCAAGTATAGAAATACTAGACTTAAAAAAATCTTAACTGTTAATGAAGTTCTGCCTAATACAGGAATACCTTCCATACATTTGGAATAGAAATTTAGAAATATATGCTCACGTTAACCAAACATTACATTGTGCAATTCTTTAACTTGGTCCTTAAGAACCTGATGAAGACAAAGAAGGTGGTGACATGTTTGTAAAGGAGCAGGTGATTTGGGGGTACCCTCAAACTAGCTTAGATCCAGAGGGAGAAATGGTAGCATCACCTCATTTCTGTGGCTGGGTCTGGGCCAGCCAGATGCTGCACTCAAATTACTAATATGTCATCGTATTTCCTTCCAGATATACCTTATTTCTTTCCTTCTTTATCACTACTGCTTATTTTATTCTCTTTGCATAATGGTAGGGGCAAATGAAGTTTGAAGGTACTGTACCATGATTTCCCTATCATTCTTATAGAAAAAAGAGAAGATTCTAGAAATGCACAATTCAAAGTCTAAGTGAACAGATGTTATTGTTGTCAGGCATCATTAGTGTCTTTACAGTATTTTTCATGGCATTACCTGCCTTGAAAGGCAAATCTGAATTTCTTTTTCACATCACTTTCCCAAGTGTCCTTTGGGTTAACCCAGTACACCACTGTACAAAAGGAGCTGCTACTTACACAGTAAAGAACTGTATTTATTTTTTGTAGATCAAGGGTTTCTTCTCCCTTTCTTCACAATACTGTCTTTATGAGGAAGTGTCAAAGTCACTACCAAGTGTCTGGGTCAGTGCCTCAAGCATGTTGTTGGAACATGCTGGCCTTATGCATGTTCCCCTTCTGGTACAGTTTATACCAATTAAGAGAGCAGACTAAAATCAAAGTGCTGCTTTTGAAAGGAAAACTCCTTTGCCACTATTATTTGCTGGTGAATTTGGTGCCAGGCTTCTTTAGCTAAAGTGCCTTCTTTAGTCACTTCTGATTATGCAGTTTCAATGGAGATCTTGAAGTGTTCTGATTATAAGAGTGACGCATATGCAGTGATTAACAGTTGTTATCAAAGGAATAGCACCAAAAATAGAGTTCTGCACGCAGACAACTATTGGAGAGCTTCCACTTCAGTACAGAAGGAAAAATTAGGTAAGCATTTATGGTAAGGATAAAGATCTGGTTACAATTTTTACAACCTATTACAGAGTCTACTTTTCCTATTGCATTTGTGTCATAGACAAATTTCTGGTGAAAATCAGGTTAATGAGTTAGGAATATTTAGGAAAGGAAAAGATATTCCTGAATATCAAATTCAGAAGATACATTTAGATACATTAAAAATATTTTTTCTTTTTAACCTTCTCCTTTTATTTTAGACATAAACCAATCTGTTCATTTCAGTATTTAGTAAGGATTTAATGAGCAGGTTTTTTCATATTTTTGAGCTAGTCCTTCTGCTTTCTTCCAAAATCTCTGGGCCTGTTTGCACTTATTGACAGGCTGAGGCATCTGGTGGTATGGCAGTTATTTGTCAGTCCCCCTGGTTCTACTTGGATCAATCAAATTCTTTTTTTAATCATTGAAGTTAGTGGAAAGGGTTTCTGGGGTTTCATCTGTAAGCCTTTTGAGTTTAGCCAGTGGGGTGTTCCATCTGAATGTTTCAAAGCACTAAAAATTACTAGGACAGTGTTCTTCTGACCATTTACCTGACATATATATAGAGAAGAACATATCTCAGATGATCAGTATTTCCAGTCTAAAATGATAGCTAACTAGATTAACTTGGCTTTGCCTAAGTCCTGGTCTTGTATTCCTCAGTATGCATGTTTTACCAACCCTATATTTAAGAGTCATGTGTATTTTAAGTGCTACCACAATATGTTGAGCTGTGATGAATTACATTCTTTAAATCCAGCCATGGAGAATCATTAAATCCTTCAGCTTGAGATGGATTCCTGGAGGCCACTTAGTTGAAACCCCCGTTAACGCAGGTGCAGTTAGAGTAAACTGCTTGAGGCCTTGTGTGATTGAGTTTTGAATATTTCCAAGGACAGAGAATTCATAGCCACTCTGGGCTGACCACCACCATAGTAAAAAAAATTATTCCCTCCATCTAATTAAAAGTTACACCATTTATTCTTGCCCTTCCACAAAGTATCTCTGAAAAAAAACCTGGCTGAATCTTCCCTATATCCTCACATTAGATAGTCATAGACAACCACCCAATCTCAGAATAACAGAATTGTTTCTATTGGAAAACATTTAATGAAACCAACCCCCCTGCTTGTTGTGATAAGGCACGAAATGATGACACAGACACTGCTGCTCTCGAGGGGAACAAAAAAGAAGAAGAAGAACCTTTATTTTCTGACTCCAACATTAATAGTTTTCCCAAGGTGACAGTGGATTGGAGGGTGACAGTGCCACCTCTCCAATGCCACTGGACAGACCAAGGGTCCATCAATTCTCTCCACCTCCATGAAAGAATGCAAAACATAGGTTATTTACAGAACTGTGTGTGAGAAAGTTTGTTGAAAGAATGTAAACATCAGAAGGCTTAACAAAGTCTTACAAAATCAGGGCGACACCTGCTCACACAGGGTTAGCTAGAACTTGTTGCTCAAGATCAGGCCCAGCTGCTCATTGAATGTCTTATAACCTTTCTGGGCAACGTTTGACCCGCCTCACAGTAGAACAGTGTTTTCTTGCGTTCAGATGGAATTCCATTGTTTTTAATTTGTGCCCATTGCCCCTTGTCTTTGAGCACCACTGAAAAGAGCCTGGCATTGTACCTTTCGTTCCAACCCCTCAGGTATTTAAGCATGTGGGTAAAACACCCCCCAAGCCTCTCTTCTCCAGGCTGAGCAGTCTTAGCTCTTTCAGGCTTTCCTCATATGGAAGACGTTCCAGTCCCCTAGTCATCTTTGTAGTCTTTCACTGTCCAGTAAGTCCATCTAGTTCTTGAATTGGGGAGCTCATAGTTGAACACAGTGCTCCATGTGTGGCTTTAGTGATGAGTAGAGATAAAAGACCACCTTCCCTCCACACTGATTTCAATTCCCTCCCTAGTATGCCTAGGAGGCTTTGGCTGCCTTCGCCATCAGCTTGCATCACTGGCTCATGATCAGCTTGTTGTTCACCAAAACCCTCAAATCCTTTTCTGCAGGGCAGTTCTTTAGTCAGCCAGGCCACAACATGTAACAGTGCTATCTGTTATTTCTCCCCAGCTGTTCTGTGAGTCTGTTAGGGCAGCCAGTGTCACAAGTCTTACTGAAGTTGAGGTAAACAACTTCTACTGTTCTCCCATCATCCATCAAAACAGTTACATCATCCACATTGTGGAAAGTTATCAGGTTAGTCAAGCATGGCTTCCTCTTCACAAATCCATATTGACTATTCCTGATTACTATGTTGTCCTTCGCCTGTTTGGAAAAATGGCTTCTAGGATTAGTTGTTCCCTTATCTTCCTAGAGATTGTGGTGAAGCTGCTCTGCCTGTAGTACCCTTGATGTTTCCTGTTGCCATTCTTGAAGAAAGAAGTAATACTTTCTTTCCTCCACTCTTCAGGAATCTTTCCCAGTTGCCATGACATTTCAGAGGTAATAAAGAGTGGACTTGCAGTGGCATCATGCAGCTTCCTCAGCATTTGTGGGTCCAACCTCTTATGCTTCATGAGCTTATATATGTACAGTTTGTTTAAGCTCTCTTTAATCTGTTTTTCCTTTCGTGGAGGGCTAGGCATGTTCCAAACTTTCCTCTGTTTTCTGGGGCTTGGGATTCCTCAAGGTCAGTTTTACTAGAAAGCATGGAGGCAAAGAAGGTATTGAATATCTCAGACTTTTCCATATTCTTTCTTATTGGCACCTCTACCCCATCCAGGAAGAGTTTACATTTTCCCTAGCTGTCCTTTTATTCCTTTTGCTGTTTGCTACAGCTACACATACAATTCTCTTTTGTTCCCCTTCATGTACAGAAATGTTGCTAGATTCAACTCCAGACTGGCTCTGGCTTTCCTGGTGCTATCAAAACAGCTCTGTACTCCTCTTGCATAATCTGTCCCAACTTTCACTCCTGTGTGTTAGGAGCAGCATACTTGTTCCAGTCTCCAGCTGCCTTTCATTTCCTACCTGATGTGATGGAGTTTTTTGATCTTGTAGGAGTTGATTTGGTTGATATTCTTGAATATCAACCAAATCTCACAGAATCCCGCTTCCCCTTCCCCTTCCCCTCCCTCCAAATTTGGAGCTGAAGAAAACCTCTCCAAAACAACAACAACAAATAAGCCCAAAACAATGAAAAAACAACAACAACAACAACAACAGAAAAAACAACTCAGAAGAAAAATAAACCCTTCCAGATCCTTAAAACTTGAGCAAAACCCAGCTGCCTGCATCTACCCGGTTGCCTGCATCAGTGTGGTGACACTCTCAGCTGTACCTGTTGAGATGCGTACTGGTAATATCTGTCAGTCACAAAAGCTTTTTTGAGTTGAAATTTGCAATGTTTATATATGAACTTTGCATGATGTGCCACCTGTGCTCTTGCCTGTGTTATTTTAATAAATTGAAGCAAACCAGTTTGATAAATTTTTATTGGTGCCACAGCTCTATCAACACTGTGCCTGAGGCATGAGCCTTTCTGATCCTCGAGCTCAGAGGTTCATCTGTGCTCCCAAAATTGGTCTTGATCCTCATGGTAAGAGGATTTGCAAACCCTGAAATCTCCTGCAAAGCTGTAACTGTGAGGATGGGGCTATTTCATCCCAAATATTGGCAGCAAGTGTCTTGTGGGATGGGCATTTTAGGGTGTGTGTTTATCAGATGGAGGCATCCCTTCTCTTTCCATCTTCTGCTGTCACAGAGCAGAGCAGGAAAGGCCTTTTTTTGCAAACCCACTTGTGTTCAGCATCACATCTATTAACTTCAAAGTCCTTGGCTCTCAGTGTCCCACACCCTTCATCCATCTCGTGCAGAGAGGTGCCAAGCCTGTAAAACAAATATTGTATTGTATTGCTGAAGAGGAGGAAACTCTCCAAATCTTGCAGATAGCGGGGGAGGGGGGGGGGGAAGGTTTCTGCCCTTTTCCTGCACCATTTCACCATGCACGCATCATTTCTTGCTGGAGGGTGACCAGATTTGAGGAGAGTTGCTGTACCTGCAGTAAGATCTGCAAGGAGCATGTGTGGAGCATGAAAAGCCATGGTATTGCATGGGTCTGGTGGGAGCTGTGGGGTTACTGTGCTCCGGTGCACTTCCCCAACCTTTGTTCTACGGAACTTTGCTGGGGGGGAATATGAGACTCTTGCTTAAACTCCAACATCTTGAAGAGATAGGTCAGGGCATGAACTCCATTTGAAATGGAACAAAGCTGCTGTTTACACCAACAGACTATGGATACACTCACATTTTGGGGTTGAAAGGTGTGTTGTCTACCCATCTCCACACCTTCTGATGTGACCTTAATCCAATCCACACTGGTGGTGGGCTCTTGCCTGTAACAGTCTTGATGTGCTCCTGGAAAATCAGAAGTGACCAGTTGCTCCCAAAATCTCTCTGGAGGGTTTCACAGTAATCAAATTCACAGAGTAAACCTGACTCCCAAATTCATGAGACATTAATTTCCCTCATACTTTGAATTTTTCCCCAAACCCTCCTGTTGATAGGCACTTTTTTCCCCCAGCCCACCTAAAAATCAGGACTTTTGTATCCTTTTTTAGCTGCCTTCTTCTTATTTACCTTTTCTTTCTTGTCCTGGAGCACCACCAGTTGGGAGTCCTGGTTCTCACAGCTTTTCATGCCTTGAGTCCAGTTTCCCAATTCCTCAGAAAGCCAGTAGCATCTTTCCCCATGGAGCTGCCAGTCCTGGGGACACAGCTTGGAGCCAGCATAGGCTGATGTGGAGAAAAAGCCATGAGACACTCCAAAGGGTTCAGGTTATTTCCCAGCCACCAGCTGAAGGTACTGAGGGATTCCCCATCCCACACCCCAGCTCTTTCCCCATTGCTGAGTTTTTTTACCTCAGTGTGGTTTTACCAGCCACTGGAGAGAAGGAAGGTTACTGCGGCGGGGTGACCACAAGGACATTATTGGCCGGTGGAGGTGGAGCAAGAGGGGCAAGGAATCTGCTCCCTAGGGCTGATGCTGCTCCTCCATGGAGGACGGATCAGCAAAAATTGCATGGAAAAGAGGATTCTTCCTTGCAAGACTCCTCTTTGCCAAATAACTTGTGATTTCACAACTCTAAGGGTCTAAGGATCTCTCTTCTTCTAGTAGAAGACCACCACAAAGGTCTCACCTAAACATCTCCCAGCACAGTCAGACGGGAAGGGGGATTACCTGTGGGGCTGTCCCCTCGGGGCTTGCAGAAATACCGCACCAGGGATGAAAACATGCACTGCTCCCCCTGGTTCCTTCCCTGGATCCCACTGTCTAGCTGTGGAATGCTTGTCACCGCTGGCTGTGGGGAGCCCTGAAAGACTTGGAACAGTAATGTGGGGTGAGAAGCTGCAGCCATTTGGGGACAAAAACCACAAACCCCACAAAACTGGGATTAATTTTCTTATACAGTTGCTTAAGCCAGCCTGAAAAACATGGCTTGTATTCTTCACCCTTGTTTGATAGCTATGGGTATAATCCATGTTTACTCGGAATGGGCTTATTCTTGATGGGTGGTGTTGCATCTCTACAGGACCACCTTGCCCCCTCCGAAGACTGAAATGCTGAAATAAACCCCAGTTTCCCCTCCCTGGCTGCTCACTGGAGTGTGAGATGTAGATAAGAGCTGGTTACTCACCCTGCACACTCAGCACCACCACCAGGACCAGCAGGATGAGTTGCCCCAGCCCCCCAGCTATGAGAAGGAGCCTGTGCCACCACGGACAGAAGGCAGGTGCTGAAAGAGGCCACATTTGCTTTAAAAAAATGAAAGATGAAAAAACTGGGGGTTTGGAGGAAAAAAAAAGAAAAAGCCCCTCTGTCAAGCTGGTGAGTTTGAGCAGAAGTTGAGCAGAAGTTTAAAGCTTCTTTTCTTCCTCCAAAGAAGTAAATCACCACTAATGCGGTCTAGGGTGAGGGTAGTTTCTCAGGTGGAGGAGGGGCTGCAGAAGCCTCAGGAGCATCCTTGGGCACCCAATGATGGATCCTGGGGGATGGGAGACCATCTGAAATTGGCTTAATTTAGAGTTCCTGGTAGAGCTGGGAGTTGGTGAGACAAAGGTCATTCCAGCTCTCATCTCCACCAGGATTCCAGACAGGATCTCAGCAGCTTTCTTTCCCATCCAGGTGCGTTGGCTCATGTTGGGTGTCTTGGCACCCATTTTGCCTCCAGGAGAAGAGTCTCAGAAGCAAAATGGCTTCCAGATATCTGTCACACTCTCCCACCCCTTCCTTTCTCTTATTCCCCCTCTTTTCAAGCCAGGATCGTACCTTAGAAGACATTTAACCCACAACAATGTTCTCCATGATCTTGGAAACCTCAACATGGAGATGAAGAAGCAAGCAAATCTAAAAGTAAGCAAAACCAAAAATCTTCCCAAAACTTGAAACAAGCATTTTCTCCCCAAAATAGGACTTACCACGATGTTTCTCAGCAGAAGAACCATCCCCAAGATGCCTTAAATCTGCATAAACTATTTCCCCAGCCATGGTTGCTCAGAAGGTCCCAGGGGCAGCCCAAAAGTGACACTGTCCTTGGACAACCCCTTGCCTTGTGAACTACTCACTCACATCTGCATCTGGCTCCAGGAAATGGTATTGGCTGGGGCTTTTATCTGCTTTTTAGTTTGTACATATGTACATACATATATATTTATGTATGTATTCTACACACTACCCTTGTAAATGGAAGGTGGTGAGGAAATGGGTGTCCTGCAGCCAGGAAGAGGCGGCATACCTGGAGGTGTAGAAACATCTGTGAGTTTGGTGGTTGTGCTAAATATCTGTGAAAGCAGAATTAATAAATAATCATTTCAAAAAACCTTTAAATAAACCTTTTGACTGTGAAGTTGAAACATGTTGGGAGGTGGTCAGTGTGGCCACAGGCAGGAGGAGAGGAGACAGGTGACATTTGGTGTTTCTTCCCCAAAATATGGGCTGGGAGTGACTTGAAATGCCTGTTGCTCCATGTGACTTATTCTGTTGGTTTTGACACAATATTTGGCCTCTGTTTTATCCTGGGGCAAAGAGATCCAGTGTGGTCAAGGGTTGCCCAGCTCCTGCCAAGGAAGGTAAGAATCTGGATTTCCTAGTGGCTGCTAATGAAATTTATTTTGTTACTTTATTTTATGCTGACTTTTTCACCTGCAAACCCATCCTCCTACTCCTAATGTACCCTTTTACACCATCTAGACCTATGTTTCCTCCAGGTTTGAGACTCTTTGACTACTGCTTGGAACAACCACCAATTTCCAGCCTACAGTAATCTTTTCCCCTCACTTTTCTTAGGGTTTTTTTGGTGTTAATCCCAGGTTTTAGTCAGTGCCACAATATCCCAATGCAACACCTTTTTACAGAGGCAAAAACTATGGTTTTTTCCTCAGTCACCAAAAAAAACCCCAAAAAACCCAAGAAAAATGCAGAAATTTGCCCCAATACCTACCAGCAGCCAGAAATAGGGTAAATAAGAGGATAAATCCAAAGGTCCCAGTAGGAAAAGCACTGTGTTATTTTGAAATTATTTTAAAATTTTTAGTTAAAGTAAAAAATACTTTTATTTCAAATTTGTGTTTATGTACTTCTTATTTTTATATTTTTATTGTCTCATGTTTATTTTTTTTTCATTTTTTTTTTTGTTCCCCCCCCCCCCCCTCCCGTCTTTTCTTTGTCACAGAAAGTTTCTGTGGTGAGCTGCTATCAGCCAGCCTTCCTGCCCTCTGCAAAGGCAGCTGCTCCAGTGGCGTGTGACCAGTGATTACAAAAAACCCCTAAAAAATACAAAATAAATTAGGTCTTAGGGTAAAACCTGCAGCTGGGTAGCTTAATTGCAAGAACACTTATTTTTTTTTTTTATATTTTTATAGTAAAAACCCTTATAAAACAGGCTGAAGGGAACTGTACTTCTCCCTTGTAGAATCCCTGAACGCTGTTCTGGGGTGCCCTGACAGCATGGAACAGAGTGATCTCCAGCAGTGTTTCCTCCAACTGCACACTAAAAAAAGCATTTTTGGACAATTCATCTCCCTAGCTGAGAAAAAATTCCGGAAGTGCTGGAAAAGAAGGTGAAGTGCTGCTGGGTAGAATGGAGGGGAGCCCCTGGTTCTGTGGGTGGGCAGGTGGCCCTGGGCAGGCAGCCCCTTCCTCTCTGCCCTTGAGGAGGCACAGGAAAATCCCTAAGAATACAATAAAATAAACCAAAACAACATTCTTTTTAAAATACTTTGTTTCTCTTCACAGGAGCAGGTTGTGCCTCAGCATTGGGCTTGTTCCCACTGAGCAGACACAGGTGACAGGGTTTGGGAGCTCAGGGGAGGTGGTCTTCAATTTTGACTGGAAGAGAGAATTTCAATTGCAGGGAGAAGTTTTTAATTGCAGGAGAAAATTTTAATTCAGGGGATGTTAATAGGGGAAGATTATTTTAAATAGGGGGAGAAAACTTTAATTTAGGGGACAAACCCCTTAATATTGGAGAGAAAATATTAACTGAAAAGAAGATATTAATCGTGGGGAGAAGGTGCTAATTGGGGGAAAAACTTTAATGGGGAGAAAAGTTTACAGGGAGGAAAGTTTAATTACTGCAGAAAATTTTAACTGCAGGGAGAAAATGTTACCTGAGGAGACTTTAATTTTAATTTTTAAGATTTTAATTGGTGGAGAAAACTAATTTGGGATGAAAGTGTGATTGTGGGAAGAAAACTTGACATACAGGGAGAAAATTTTAACTGAGGGGAGAAAAGTATAATTAGGCAGATAAAACTAATTGGGGGGAGAGGAAATTTTAATTGCAGGAACAAGATTTTAATTGTGTGGGAAAACATCAGGTGGGGGGAAAAGTTTAAATACGGTGCAGGGAGAAAATTCTAAATTGTGAGAAAATTTTAATTGAGCATGGAGAGCCTTTGTGACACCTCTGATAGATGAAACTTTGCTTGGCAGGTGAGGCAAGAGCACCTATAGAGGTGGAACCCCAAAAATGGAGGAAATAAGAGTTTATTCCGGATTTTTGGGCATGGAAAGGAACAAACGGGCAGGTAACTGTAAGACAATGAACTGTAGAATCACTGGGTTTGGGTTTTATTTTGATACTTCTGTAATTTGAGAACTAAACCCAGCTGAAGTAAGATTGTAGTGGGGAAAAAGCTTTTTCTGACACTTCCCTTGAGGGAAAATTTTTGTCACTCAGCAGATAGAATTTTTGCTCTAAACAGACCAATTTCAGACATGATGGGTTATTCTAACATAGCGTTAACCTTTCCTGAGGCTCTTGAGGAACTGATTGTTTTAGGCATATTTTTGCCCCCACAAATATTCAAATTTTTTTGTTGATTTTTCATTTGTTGATTTAATTTTTTTTAATATAACACTTTAAAAAAATTTATATTTGGCATATTTGGCTTTTGACTTACTTTGTAATATTTTTTCCAGGAAGAAGAGGGGAGAGGAGGGTTTTTCACATGACATTTGGTTCATATGATGGGAATTAAGAAGGAAAATCTTAAACAAAAAATGGGGGAAGTCCTACTGGATGAAAACACTAAGATTTTTGTATAAAAGCCCTAGGAAAGAGAATTTTCTTTGCACATGGTGAAGGGAAAGTGTGTATTCTGGATCACAAGATACAGAAATGGAGGCACCATGACCCAAAGTGTCTTAGTTTAGGTGGAGAAAAAAACTCCACTGAACTTTAATAATGAAGTAAATCCCAGACATTAAAGCAAATTTTTAATTATGGTACAATTAATGAGTTTTTATCTGGAGCTAGGTAGGAAACTGTTCCCCAAAGAGCTCCCATAAACAAAAAATAGCTAATTTTGTTCTGCATGAAGAAGAATATTTGGTATTTCTCACTCAAAATGACACCAAGTTCACTGGCATTGGCTTGAGACCAACCCTTGATGATCTTGGCATGGCCTGTAGCGTGTTGCTGTCCTGGGAGCCCTCGCAGAGGCACTGAAGGTCTGTTCTCCTGCAGGTCACAGCATGGAGATGAAGCCGGAGGCACTTGTCGCCTGCCAGGTGACTCTGGCAGTGCTTTTCACAACTCTATTCATCACAGCCATCGCTTTTGCAGGTGAATGTCGAAGTTTTAGTCTCACAGGTAACTTCTCTGAGATATTTTGGGTTGTGTTTGTGACAGATTTATTTCCATGTTCCTTCGGAAGACAAAGCCCACCGAAGCTGCTGTTCTCTCTGGGAGAAGAACGTTTCAGAGCGGTCTTTGTACAGAAGAACAAACCCATCCCCACGGTGTGGGAGCTGATGTCATCGAGAAACCCTTAGAAAATCAACAGGAAGAGCCATTTCAGAATACAGTCACACAGAAATATTGTTTTCAGAGAAGAAGGGGCCAGGAGATGTTGGCATGAGTCCCACCAAGTCAAGAAGGCTGCAGGAATAAGAGGACTTCTTCCTTGTCATTTTCACTACTTTTGCATTAATGACAGAGAGCAACACCCAAGGGCATGTTTAGGGATGGGGCTACTCTGAAACTCCTCTTTAAAATGTGTTTTTTTGAAGTCTACCACCCTATTTCCTTCTTTGAAGGTGCAGCACCTGTATTTCTTGTCCAACATCACAAGCTGGGCCATGATTTGAGTTTATTTTCTCACAGGATCTCTCCCGGTATCTTAATTTTTCTCTTTGCCTACAGTTGAAGCAGATGCAAGACTTTTGGAAGCCGTGGGGTGGAGAATGATCTCCCCACCCCAGAGAGGCAAGGGGAAAGTGCTGCTCATTAATGTTGTTCTGTTTTTAATGACAGTGCAAGCTTTTCAGCCTCATGCCCAGCCCTGCTTTCAGTGCCCCTTTGACTGGATCAGGTACAGAGGAAAATGCTACTATTTTTCTGAGGTTGAGGGGAACTGGACATCCAGCCACGACAACTGCTCAGCACTTGGTGCTTCCTTGGCCATGCTGGACAGCACGGAGGACTTGGTAAGGAGACATGAGGATTTGCTTGGCATGGGGGAAAAACCCAAAAGCACTGTATTTGAAACCTTTTAGTTTCTTTGACTGCTCTTCCAGGATCTTTTTTGAAGATCTGGGGTGAGAAGTTGGGGAAAAGGCCTTGAGGGTATGTCATCATGGGTATCTTCAAATTCCTCACCAAAGCAAACTGCTGCAAGGACTGTAGGAATAAACCCCTGTTTCTAGATGACACTTTTTCGTAGCAGATTGAAATGTTCAAGCCCCAAAGAAGCCCTAAATCAGCATAAGCAACTGGTGAAATTGACGGTTTTGGTTGGAAGAAGGTAAAAATCTTTCCTTTTCCCCTCTTTCAGAGTTTTGTGATGAGATACAAAGGCATCTCAGAGCATTGGATTGGCCTTTTGCGGGAGAATGAGCAGCAGCCATGGCAATGGGTGAACCGCTCACCTCTATCTCACCTGTGAGTCCATGTTTTTCATTATTATGTTGTTGGTTGGTGTTTCCTCAGCTGCAAAATGTGCATTTCTTCTTGTACTTGAGGTACTTCCAGAGGTAGCAGTGGGACAATGTTTGGGAAGGGCAACATTGCATCTGGAACTGGTATTTGTTTTCCCCTTTGACCTAAAAGATGGGAGTGGTGCAATTGCTGAGAAAATCCTAAGTTTGCATTTTTTATTTTAAGTTTGTTTCTCTCTTGCAAAGCTTTGGGTTTCATATTAGAAATAGATCAGCATCAGTGTTGGCATATTGATACTGAATTAGTTCTATTCCTATAAAAGGAATATGTGCATGTTGGTGCCCATGAGGATGCCTGGGAACTGAAGCTGAGAAAAACGTATGTGTGGCTTTTCTCCTTTTTCCTGCTGCTCCATCTGAAATGGGTTATGTCCTCTGTACTTCTAGGTTTTGGATCCGTGGTGGTGGGCTCTGTGCATACCTGGATGACAATGGGCTCAGCTCCTCCCACTGCAGTACTGAGAGGAGCTGGATTTGTAATAAACATGAGCTGCAGAGCTCAGGCAGGGGCAACAGAATGAGACGGCCTCCAAACCTCTGTGTCAGCTCCTTGGGTGCTGCAGGGAGGCCTTCTCACTCCCAGATATCTGGTGCACCATAGGGACATGAAAGAAAATCTTAAAAAGATTTTTAAATCCCTGGGCAAGGGGTTATTGGGGTTTCCAGGGGCCAACAAGGTGTTTCTGGGACAAGGCAGCCTTTAGGGATCCACATGAGATAGTTCTTGAGAATCCAGGGGGGTGGGCAGGCCAGCTTTGGGGCTCTTTTTGGGTTTGGGGCAACTTGGTGATGGCCCAAATGCAGATGCCTTCTACTTCTTGGAGAAAAAGAAATTTATTCTATCCTGAACATATTTACATGCTAAGTACTTGGAAATACATCTCAAGCATGGGGAACAGCAGACGAAAAGAGTGGGGGCAGTGGATGTGAGCATATCCTTGTGATAACGAAATTCAGTTTTAATATGAGGAATAGCTGCTGGTATTAATACAAAGTCTGCAAAAATCAAGATTTTTAATTTGTGCTGGATGGCCAGCCAGTCATAGGCACTGAGGTCAGCAAAAGTGACCTCCAGAGGAAGCTGTATTTGGGAGGGAAAAAAAAAAAAAGTTTTTAGCTCAAAACAAGCTCAGGGAAGTCAAGCTCCTGTTAACAAGCTTTGCATGAATTTAACAACTTGAGAAGAGCCATGCTGAGCTTAGACCCAAAACCCTCTGGGCATAACCCAAAACAGAGACATCTAAAATGAAGGAAGGACCATGAACTGAGTTAGAAATTACTCCAAGACTTGGAAAATAAGAGTTGAGGAGCATCAACCAGCATTTCCAACCACTGTGATGCAACCAGCCTTTGGGAGGATCCTTTCAGGGCATCAGCCCTTGGGGGACAGTTTAATGGTTGAGAGGAGCACGCAAAAGTAGGGGAAGACCCTCTCCCCACTGAAGGAGGCCACAGGAAAAGTGAAGATGCGTTGGCGGCTGCTGACAGCGTAGAAAGAGACCTGTCCCACCTCGTAGTCCAGGTAGACCCCAATCTCCCCATTAAGGATTGGGACAGAGGTGTTGGATGGAGCTGTGAGGGCAACACAGAGGTCATCATACTTCTGCAAGCCCCAAATTTCAGTGTTGGGCTTGAAGAGGACCCGGCCTTTCCTCTGAACTGACTCACGGGCCACTCCCACAGCCCAGAAGCGCCCATTGGCCTCCACCTCCCAGTAGTGACGGCCCGAGGTGAAGCCCTCACTGCCCAGCATGCATGGGTCTGTGTCGAACCGGCCTGGACCCGCAGGCCACTGGCATCGAGGTCTACCCCAGGTGGCTTCTTTGAGGTTCTCAGAGAGGATCACCTCTGGACCCACTGTGGCTGGATCCAGGGTTACATCCACTGAAAAGCAAAACAGAGAATGAATCAGAAGTCAAATTTAAGCCTAGAGAACACACACCCCCAAAATGCCTTCACTGGTGACTTTTCAAAGAGAAAGGGAGAGGCAAGACGAGGTTGGAGATGTGAGTGTGAAGAGGTGGAAGTTGGAGATGGAGGATATATATCCATTTGAGGCTGGAGATGGAAGAACAAAGAGATGGAGGTTGGAGACAGAGGCCCTAGTGAGACAGAAGGTGGAGCTGGAGAATCTCCAACCCCATTGAACATCTCAGTGCAGAAACAGGTACTTTGGTCCTTTCTAGCCACCTCTGATTACCTTCAAACTGTTTGGCGGTGTGGTAGTCCAGGGCAAGGTCCCATGTGCATGCCCGTGGTTTGAGGAAGAAAGCCATTGCACCCTCAGAGTTCTCTCTTCCTGACTGGAGGCACAGAACAAGGAAAGAAAGGATAAAATCCAACTATTATTCTCCAAACAGTCATATCTCAGCTTTTGCCCCTTTCTACGTAAAAAAATTGTGTTTAACCACCATATTTAATCAAAGTACTTCAAGAAAATAGCATTCTTTTTCTTCAACAGAGCTTGGTTCATTTTGGAGGTGGGTTAAATCAATTAATTCCCTAATGACTATGAAGGGAACATGAGCAGCACATTGGGATGAACCCATCTCCATTGTAGATATGCCCCAAATCTCCATTCCTCATGCTGGCTGGTGGCTGAATCTATCCATCTTAAATCCATCTCTGCCTCCACATCAATCAAATCTGACAAAGTTTATTTGAGTGAGGAAAGTCCCTAAAATTGAGATAAGCCACATTCACCTCTCACATCCAGAGAAATCTTGTGAGAAGGGAAGAAGTTTGCTATTGACCTTGGAGAAAATGTGTATGGGGGAGATATGAGCTGGCACCAGATGGCTTCAAATTCATCCTCTGGAAGTCAGTGTGGGGTTTTGCATGCAAACAAGGGCATGAGTAATAAAGCCCCAAAATGACTGAATAAACCATGCTGTGACAGTTGAAAACAAACAGGTTGCTTCTTTTCCATGTGTTTTCCTCAGCAAATCTGCAGATAAGGGGATTAAAGCAGCAGGGTGGTGAGTAAAAGTGAGAAAAACGTAAGAAAATCACCCAAATGGAGATAAAATCAGGAGCTATGCTGTTTCTCACCCAAATTCCCTGGCTGGATTGTTACAGGTAGAAGGGAAGTAAATATTCATCATATTTTTTTATATCATATGACCCTCCACTGCAAAATACCTTTAATTCCAAAACAAAGATCCTGAGACCAAAGCAAGGGTAAATCACTTCCCTTCCTGAGTTCATGGGATGGGGAGGGGGCTCAAAATCCCCTTCTCCGCCAAATAGATACTCAATGAAGTACATTTGATCCTCAGTTTGAAACACCCCCCCCCCCCCCCCCCCCCCCCCCCGACATCAGGGTGATGTAACCCCCATATCAGCACTGGGATTTTCGCCCTTACTGAGACCTTCTTGGTGTTTTCCTTGCTGTCGCTGGTGCTGTTTCGGGGTTCCTCCAGATGGTTTTCTTCCACTGGCTGCTTCTCCACTGCGTTTTTTCCGCTTGGGATTTATTTCTTCCTCTCTCTGGCACAGGCTCAGCCAAAGCTCAGTCCTGTCTCAGCTTCTGCCAGCTTTTATCAGACAAGAAGGGAGGAGCCCTCCAATCTCTCGCCTGCAGATGGGGCCATGACGTGCTTGGACACCTGCACCATCTGATTGCCCCCTTTTTCCCCCATTTCAGGGCCATTTATTTTCTCAACACAGGCACTGGGGAGGGAAGGGAGGAAAATTAAAGCACTGCAAAAAACCCTGTTATTGCATGGCACCACAAGGGAGAAAGCAGTTAAATTTTGCCCCCTAGTTCCCCAAATCTGACTCTGCCCCCTTACACATGATGGAGGGGAACAAGGCAAAGCTGGGAGCAGCTTCCAGGTGAGGAATGTGACAGCAATGCCTGGAAATAAGACAACCTTGTGGATATAAAATTTGTTGTGGGTGATGACATTTGCTTTTCCAACTGGGGCAGCTTGTGCTGGGAACTGAGCACAGGAACACCAAGGGACAGTTCAAGGATAGGCAGCTTCACCCTGTGCCACAGCAAACCCCTAGCACTCCTTTCTCCTTGTCAGGAGGGCAGCATGGCCACAGCATCCACACAAAACCCCTGTGCTGACACTGGTCAGAGCTTCATCTCTTGGTGTTGAAGAGACAAAATCCCCTCAGGAGGCAATGGGTGAGCCATGATAGGCTGTGGTCATGAAGACTTTTGGAGGACCAGATGAGACCTGTGAGGTGAGATCACCTTCCTATGATCTATCAGGCCTTCCCCCGTTCCCTCCCCATGAGAAAAAGGTGCAAAGTGAAAATATTTTAATTTCTTCGTGGGAAAGCAAAGGTCTAGTGCCTGCTTCTAGTTGTGGGAAAAACATAAAATGAGTTGATCCCTGCTTTCCAGGGAAGGCAGTGAGGGAGCTTTTTTAGGGGGATTATTTGCTTTCCTTCCCCCAATAATGTAAGCAGGATTATACAAACAAGCTGATTGCTTCACTTGTGGGTTGTTTTGTTGTTGCTGTTGTATTTGGTTTTGGTTTTGTTTTTATTTTTTTTTTTTGAGGATTTTTTTTGTTTTTGTTTTTGTTTTTTGTTTTTTTTTGTGTGCATTTAGGAGAAAATCCAGTCTCACCTGCAATCCCAAAGGAAGGTGTTGGCAGAGTTTCTGGACTGGAGTGCAAGTGAAGAGACACCACAACTACCTGGTACAGGGGATCCCCTCTGTTCTTCAGCAGTCTGAATGAGTCTTTGGGCATTTACTTTTCCTCAAGCCCCTCTTGAAGAAACACGTGGGATCAAGAAACATGTGTCCAAGAAGCATTCTGGGGCCCTGCAAAGCCCTACATCCAGTTCCTTGGCAGGTTTGGCAAGCACCACCTCCATGTACAGCTGCTTATTATCCACTTATTATCCTGCTTATTAAATCAATGTCATGGTGCTGCTCATTTTCATCCCAGACTGAGTAATAAAGGGACATTTGTTAACATGGAATTAACACTCCCCCCTGCTTCTCAGGGCCTGGATTGGTTTTGGACAGACTATAGAGAGGAATGGCAATGGGGAAGAGAAAAGGAGAACCGTCGGGTGAAGTATGTAATTATTGTGCCGTCCCTAATTAGCTGCATCCCCAGCCCCGCCCCAGCGTAACAGCCACCCTGGCTACAGCAGAAGCACTTCTGCCCTTAAACTCAAAAGGGGAAAATTCAGGTCTGGGGGTTGCATATGGATTTCTTGTCTCTTCCAGATGAGTGAAGCTGAGTGGCACCACATTGAGGCTGAGTTCGAGCGGCTGCAGAGCAGGAGCTGTAGCAGCTGCTGGGCTGGATGACACCTTCGCAGCTACCCACGCTGAAAAATCATTGCGGTGGCTGAGGGGGTTGCACAGCTCCACAGACTCATTGGGCAGCTGGAGGCCAGGCCCATATGAGTGCTGTTGTTACCCAAAAGCTGTCCCAAAGTGCTGCCTATGGGGTCTTGAACTCCCTTTTTTCTCCCTTTTTCCTTTTGGGATGTTGGCAGCATCCTAAGCAAGTATGTGGCAACTGTTTGCTTCACATCCAGCTGCGGAGAGGTGCTTGGCTGCTACATGCATCACATAACACCTGTCCCTGTAATTTCTTTTCCCAGCTTGAGTGAAATGAGGCTCCACCTCCCCTCGGGGCTCCCCAAGGAGCTGAAGAAGAGCCTGAGCTCCTGCTGCCACAAAAGCAATGTTCTGTGGGATGCCATGGAGAGGTATTTGGGTAAAAATTCGATATTTTAGAATTCAGAGGTATTTCAGGAGAATTTGGAGGCTTTGGGGAGGAATCCAGAGGTATTTGGGATAATTCAGATATTCAGATATATTCAGATATTCAGATAATTCAGATATTTGCCTGTAATGGGGGGAGGAATTCAGAGTTATTTTGGGAGGAATTCATTTTGGGATAATTTAATTATCTGGGGAAAAGTCAGAGGCATTTCAGGAGGAAGAGGAGCTTGTCCAAGGGAAGAGCAGCAGCACGCTCTGCGCCTGCTCCCTCCCCACCTTCTTCCCTCCTCCCAGACATGGATCCCCCCATGGGTCTCCCCACAGCAATGATGACGCTGGAGACTGGCACGACTCCTCTCCCACAGCTTTTGGCGGAGAGCAAAAATGTGCTGTGGATGAGGAGGAGGATGAGCAGGAGCTGACTAGTAGCTGCCAGGGGGTCATTGCCAGGAGATGCAGGATGTGGACACAGTAGATGGACTCTGCAAGATACCACCTGTGCATCCTCATCCTAGGTGTTGCCCATACTCCTAGGGAGACAAATGGTTTTATGATAAGCTCCTCTCCCAGCTGCTTTAATTAGTAACCAATCTTGTGTTGCTGCTCACCATGTAGGTAATGAAGGAAAAAAAAAACCAAAAAACAAAAAACAAAACAAACAAAAAAAAAAACAACCCTAAAAACAAACAAAAAAACCCCCAACCTCGATTTTCCTTTTGGGCTTGCGTGTGTGTGCGTGTATGCATAGGCTAGATTTTAAGGTATTTCTTGGTTGCACTGGCCAGGGAGAAGGGAGCAGGCGAGCGAGGGGCAGCGGGATACACGGTCCCGGTTCTCGGGTGCGGACTGGCGGACCTAAACTATAGGGCCTTGACTGAGAACAGCACGTCCCGCTCCTCCCCGCCGCTGGAAGCGGCTGCCGCGGCTCTGGCTGTCGTCACTCGGCTGCCCTCGCACGATAAGCGGCGACTCCCCGCGGGACCGCGCCTGTCCCGTCCCGCGGTGCAGCTCTCAGTGGCCATCCCCTGCTCCGGCTCTTTAATTCTATCTGTTTTATTCTGCTGTATACATTCCATTCACATCTCGCCCCCCTATCGGTTGAGCCCTTTTGGCGACACCTGGCAGAGGCGACAGTCACCTTCCGGCACAGCTTCTAGCGACTGGGGGCCGTGGCCAGCCTGGGCAGCTACCAGGACGGCTCACACGGCACCACCCGCTCGGTGCGCCTCTCGTAGCGCCGTCTCGCCCTCGGGGCAGCTTTTCCGGTGACTCCGGCACGGCTCGGTTCGGCTCCGGTGTCGCCGCCTCGCCCGTCCCGCGGCGCAGCTCTTAGGGACGCGGGGCAGCGGCCACCCCGAGGGTCAGCTCCCACCGCGCCGCCACGGCCACCCAAGGCAGCAGCCACACTGCGGCAGCTTTGTTTCGCCGCCTCGCCTCGCCCGCTCCCTTCATGTAGCCCCTTCACCGCCACCTCACAGCGGGGAGAAAATTTTTGGGAAAATATTTATACCTAGCATAGCCCTGACTTCTCTTGCTGCTGCAGAATCCTTATGTAGGCTGAGATTCTCCTTCGAAAAGAAGAGTAAGTGTCTGAAATAACTAAGAATTAACTAAGCATTAGGTTGGTCTGCTTTCTTTTTTCTTTCTTTGCCCCGAGACATCAAACTTTGCGTTTGTTTGGGTTCGGTTTCCCAGTCCCGTCCTGTCCCGCTCCACACCTTGAGGAGTCAGTGGCGGGACCGCAAAGCGCCGCTGACCGAGACCAAACAATGAGGAGTTTTCCATGCGCGATGCCCAGTGCGCCTAATTTCTCCTTTTTTTTTTTTTTTTTTTTTTTTTTTTTTTTTTTTTTTTCCCCGTGAAAAAGCCAAAGCTGCTCAGTTTTGTGGCAGAGCGATTTTACAACTGTTTGGGAACATCGAACTTCCTTTATTGTTTTATCTACCTTATTCATACCTATAATTTCTCATTAGTATTTTAAACATTATGTGTTTTTTATTATTTTTATAGCTCTATAATAAAATTTGCAATTATACTTAAGCGCATGTATGTCTTACATAAAAATGAAATATAGTATGTTAAAACTCCGTTAATGTTATTATAGTTAAAATACGCACAACGGTGGGTTTTTATTTCACTTTAACCCTCCTGCTCCAAGCTGGTATGCACATGAGCTCCAGGGAACTCTGCTCTCTTGCCACATTCCTGCTTTAATCCTTGTCTCCTGGAGCCCCCTTCTGGCCTCGCTCTGCTTCCCCCGGTGCAGCCGGAGGGGTGAGAATTCGCCTAGTAAATAACTCGTCCCTCCTCGGCCCCAGCTGCCGCTGCCTGCACTCCCTTCTGTCCGTAAATCCCCGCTGGCGCTGGCCCAAGGGGCTGTTCCCTGACTGAGGCGGTGGGAATGTCGGACCCGCCCGGGATGCCTTTGCTTCCAAGCGTCCCGGCCCGCCGCCGTCTCCAGGAGCAGCCCGGCCAGGCCTCTTCCCATGCGCGCCTCCCCGTAAACAGCCATGGCCGCGGGAGACGCCATCAGAGGAAACCACCTGCGCTGTCTGCTTGGATTTCTTCCAAGATCCTGTCATGATCCTGAGCTGCGGACACAATTTCTGCCGGCGCTGCCTGTCGCGGTGCGCGGCGGGCGACGCTCCATGCCCGCAGTGCCGGGTGCTGTTCCCGCACGCTGGTGATGCCTCAGGTTTTAGCTTTTATATTTTTCGGGTTCTGTACTGCTTTAGTGTGTAGTTCTGAGCTTCATATTAAGGGACAGTAAGCTCTCTCCACAGAGTAGGTGGACGAAACTATTCCTTCTCTAGCTGGGGACCAAGGATAACCAATCCAAATCTCAGACCCAAGAGCATTAACGAGCGTGGACCAAAACAAGGAAAA